CCATACCCTGGCCCCGATCCATTCCCCAGAGGTAGCTTAGCATTTGGTGGAATCTTTCCAGACATACTTGGATACAAAAATGCATCTTTAACATAAAATTGGTGAGGGCCAACCTTTTGAGGAGGTCAGAGGACACAGTGTTTTTTCCATCTGCTTCTTCCCTGTCCCTTTACACTCTCGAAGGGACTGTAATAGTCACTGGGGTCTTGGCATGTTGGGAACTACATTAACACTTCTTGGGCCAGCTCAGGTTCTGAATTATTAGAGATGAACTGATATATGATGAAATGTATTTCCTAGTCACCAAGATGGCTCATTTTGGATCATACTGACATAGCTTTTTTTTTCCTTTCTCTTTCAGCTTGAAGGTTTACTTATACTGTTCACCTGTTACTAAAGAGTTGTTGTTAACTAGCCCGAAGTACAGGTTTTGGGAGAAAAGAATTGTAAGTTTTTGTTTTTTTTAAATGATGCTAATTCTTTTTTGACTGGGAAATATTTTTTGAGGTAGATTGAACAAGACATTGGAATCCTTCAAAGCCCCATTCCTTACACACTATGTTCATCTGCATTTATTACAATATTGGTACTTAGTCTTTGTAATTCAGCAGTTTAAAAGAGGGCAGTATTTTATTTTTGATTTGCTTTTCTTGTACCTCAAACAGTCTGATCTTGGTTCTTAGTTTTGTTTTATCTCATTGAATCTCTTGCAGAGTTGCATTTTAATACTCTAAAGTGTAATATGGTTGTTAACATAATTGATAAATCCTTTATTTGGACCATGAGATAGATTAGGAAAAATAAATAAAACTTACGGGTTATAATAAGAAAGGGCTAACAATAAGAATAAAAATAGAATGAGTAATTTTGAATCTGGCAGAAAAAAATGGATCTAATTAATGGCAGGAGATACAGTAAAGGGGGAAAAAACAGAAGTATGGTACTTAGAAAATTTGAAGATGCCAGGAAAAGTTCTAACAGTAATTACTATAAATACCAAAGGATTTAATTCAATTAATTGATCAAAAGACAAATTCTCAGTTTAGTTAGAAGAATAAGAAAAATCCACTAGCCTTAGTGTACAAGAGATATAGTTAAAACAAAAGGATAAATTGCAGGTTGAAATGGGGGGAAAAAAGGGAAAAGTTATACTAAACAATTAGAAGCTAAAAATACCAGAGTGACAATTTTTATATCATACAAAGTAGAACTGAAGATAAAAAAACACACAACAAACCTGAGTTTTAAAGAGGATGTTATTTACTGTTAAAAGGAAAAAATGGATCATGATATGAACATATATGCAATTGACAAGGTAACCTCGAGCCGGATAAAGTAAAAATGGATCACCTATGCTTGATCAGAGAAAGAGAACTATAATAAGTGAATAGAATTAGGGCTCATTATGTGTGTTAAACCCTAAGTAATTGTGGGAGCTGGCAGAGAAGTCTGAACAAGTCTCATAGTCTGTTTGTTGTTTGACTGCTGACAGCTTTCAGCTCCCATTTCCTCTGTTCCCTTGTGCCCCACATTTGGGTGAGCTGTTACAAAAACCTACCCCTCCCTTGGCGCCCACTTGAAATTCAAACCACGCATGCTCAGGCCCACCCCCAACCACAGTAAGAACCAGGGCCATTTGCTCCTACTCTCTCTCTCAGGCCACATGAACCACTTCCAGCCTAGTACTGCCCCCCTCTTCCCAGAAAGTCCCCCGATGCAAGTACTGCAGTGTTTTCATGCCCTTTTGGTGCATGTGTGGCATCTTCTGTCTCCACCTCCAACCTATCAGCTGGTGTGGGGGTCCGTCCTCCCTCTACAAAGGGACATAACAACAAGGCTATAACCTTGGCCTTGCTCGTAGGCCTGGGTCAGCCTGGACTGCATCAAGAAGGAAAGCTGAGAAAGAGGTGGAGAAGAGCAGAGACAGGCTAGAATCCACAAGACAAACTGGAAGCTGTGTCTGTCTTTCCGTACTCCCAACACCAGTAATGCTGCCACTCCATGTGCCACTGAGTGCCACTCACCTGGCCCAGGAGTCTGAGAGACTGAAGGAGGATAGCTAGCCAGCAGAGGATGGAGTTGCTGCCAGCGTGTCTGTGCGTTGAGCCAGCACATCAACAACACACATAAACTTTTACAATTTCTGGTGCCCTTCAGAGCATTAAAAAATGGCTTTGGTTCACTTCTGCCTTCCAAATCTCCACCCTAAACTGAAAGTATACATGAAACAGACTTCTAGGATAGTTCCAGCCCAGCTGAGTTAATGTAATACAAGGCCACCTCACAATTGAAGGGAGAAATAGGAACTCAACAGTTATAGCTGGAGTACTTCCCATACCACTCTCAGAAACCAGAAGGTGAAGGAGGCAGGCAATAAGTGAAAATACAGAAGATTTGAATGACATAATTGATAAATGTGAACTAATAGAAATACAGAGCTTTAAACCCAACAGAGAAAACAAGATCTTTTACAAAAATTGTCTAGGTACTGTGTCACAAAATAAGTTTTAAGAAATCCTAGTGATCTGTTCTCTGACCATAATTCAGTATGTTGAATATCAGAAATAAAAGGAGAGCTAAAGTCATCCCATTGTATGCATATGGGGACTAAATGTATATGATAAACAACTCTTAGGTTAAAGAGGAAATTGTAAAAAAACCAAAACCAAACTTATACTATTTAGAATTGATGGACAATGAAAGCATGACATGTCCAAAAGTGTGGAATTGCTAAATTAGTTCTTGAACGGAAATTGATAGCATTGAATACACTTCTTAGAAAAGAAAGACTAGAATTAAATGGAGTGTCTTCAACTCAATAAGGAGAAGGAACAACAAGCAAATCTAAGGATATGTGAAAGAAGGAAATAATGAAGATGAAAGGACAAGAGAGTGATATAAAGACTAACAGCTACCACAGAAAATGGAAGATGAACAAAACTAAAAGCTGGTCTTCACAGAACTAGAGATAAATATCTGCCAATATTGGTTTTAAAAAGATACATATAAAAATACAGAATGATAAAAGGAAAATATTAATAACAGCAATGCATTTTTTGACAGTTGTTATGGTAGTGTACTTAATAATTTAGACAAAATGGATAAATATCTGGAAAAGTAAGAGAATACCAAATTGAAGCAAGAAAAGTGGAAAACTTGAATAAATAAGTAACCATCCAAGAAACTAAAATAACTTTTAAAGATCGCTTCTTCAATAAAGCCCCAGGCCCAGATGGTTTTATAGGTGCATTTTGCCAGATGTTAGAGAACAAATAATCCCTATACTAGATTAATTGTGGTAGGAGATAATAAGAAGATAAACTGCTCGACCCTGCTGGCAAAATAGGTAATGGGGGGGACGACATTTCATATGTGAACATAAAAAGATGAAAAATTGTGTTCATTCATTCATCATCTACTTATTGAATGCCTCTCTGTGTCAGCTGCTGTCCTAGTAAAATGTGCAAGTACACCTTGGAGCACTCTGCAGCAGCTCGAATCTGTGAATTAGGCCAACATGTCACGGACAGATCCAGCACAAAACCTAAACACATAGAGCACTTGATTCTGCATTTTACAAAGGCTCAGGTTCAAAGGGATGGGGAGGTGAAGGGAGGAAGAGATTGAATTCATAGAAATAGAATTGCTGTCAAAGGAGATACAAATTTATAAGGCACTATATGTTACCACATCAACCTTAAGAAAGGTATTATTTTAGTTTTATCATGTTTTCAAGCTGTTTAAAACATTTATTATAGTGAAATTAGAAAGTGTGAAACAGAGAGCCTATAACTTCTTCTCTTAGTCCCCTTTCTGTGTTTGAGATGGCAAAGGCATATAAAGTCATGCAAAACTGTGGAAATATATAATATGATGTATACATAACCTCTTATTTTATTTTAATAGATATCAATTGAAATTGAAACTCCTACCCAGATATCTTTAGTTGATGAAGCATCAGGCGAGGTAACTAAATATTAAATATCATGTTTTTGAAAATTAATATTTAGTGCTAAAATGATTATTTACCTTTCTCCTTGATTTTGAATGCTCATTTAACCATAAATAAAAATTATAGTAATTGAGTGAGTTTTATGGAAAAACACCATGTATATCATTTATTTTCTACCTCTAAAGGATTGAGCATGACTTCTGTCAGAATGGCTCCTCTTTTTCGTATTATATGCTAATAATGGGAATGCTAGTTGTTGATATTACTACGTGATACCATTGTCACATTTAATAAGCTTATTATAATGTTCAGGATATGAAATGGTGCTTAATATTTTTACAGCAAATTTATGTATATTGTGATTTTTTTTCTGAATCATGTCATTTTCGTTTTTCTTTTTTTTTTCTTTTTCTCTTTTTCTCCCCCCCCCCCC